CCTTGTGCACTATAAAAGATTTCAAACGCTAAGAATATGTATATGCTTCAAGAGGTCAATTGCCATCTTTTTATTCCCATGACATTACGTAGAAAAGTCATTTATGGTCTTTTATATTTGTGAAGACAGATGGAGGAAGTGGCTTTATGGAAACGAGTCTTATCAGCAGTTTTCTATGGAGTCACATCTATAATTGTTGTTTTTGTCAACAAAATCTTATTAACGAATTTTAAGTAAGTTGCAGTTTGATTATTCTCCATAAATGCTTCCACTCAAGTTGGATTTCCAGGTTCCCTTCATTTCTATTTGTCGGATTCGGTCAGATGATAGCAACAGTTTTAGTATTATTTTTTGCTCGACTGTTAAGAATTGTCTCGTTTCCATCATTGGATTCTTCCATCCCACGGAAGATTATGCCACTTCCTCTGCTGTTCGTCCTCAACTTAGTTTCAGGCCTAGGTGGTACGAAGCTAATCAAGTGAGTTAACAGCTCTTACAGAAATAATTCGTGATATTTGTTTTTTAGCTTGCCGATGTTCACGGTTCTTCGAAGGTTTTCAATACTGATGACGATGGTCTTGGAATACTATATCTTAGGGTAATTTTTCGTTATTTCTTCTACTAAGTGGAGAAGTTTTTTTTGTTCCAACTCGTGGCGCAACCTAGCTCGTCCCATGAGTGAGCACCAAACACGGAGCCGTAAGGAGCTTTGTTTAAGAGAAACATGTGAACCTTCCCCTCAAAAATCCTTTTAGCAAAGTGGTACAAAAATTATTTTAGCCAGATAATTTTTCGATGTCTAAAAATGCGGTTAAGTGAACAAATGTTGCTGTTCGTCAATTCTGGGCAAAACTCGAAAAGATTTTGGCGAAGCAATCGGGAGGACATGTGAAACAAAAAAAAAAAACGTTCTGGGAATTTCATGACTTTTTTGTAGGATAGAAATTAAAAAGAAAGTGCTTATCCGCAAAGACTTCAGCTCCTGTGAAAGCGTCATAATATTCAATAGTTTTTCTTACCGCTTTTGAAATCACTCCTCATTTGATGAAATGCAAACACCAAAGAACATAAAGTTCCTTGGCATATATGGATGATATTTCTAAAAGTTGGTCAAGCTTAGCATCTCCATAGCGAGACCTCAAAAAGATCTCAGAGAGTTTTAAAAGAAGAATTAAATCTCTTGACAGAATTTCTTCTAAGCTAAAGCCCTAAAAGAGATGTTTGACGTTTTCAGTTAAGCTTATATACTTTAAGTAATGAGCAAATATTGAGGAAATCCCGTAAATATTGTTGTACCATAAAGTGTGATTATTTTTTCTACGAAAAAACTAATCGAATCTTGTTTAAAATACCCAAT